TATATATATATATATATATATATATATATATATATAAATAAACTACTACTTACTACTTCTACTACTATTCCTACTTTGCAGTTTTTCACTTATTGCGGGGCTTCAGGGTACGGATGCCCCCTATAAACAAAGGACAACTGTATACTTGTTTTATTAAAACCAATGGCGTTGTTTTTTTTAAAACTGGAGTTGTTTGAAGATGATATGAATTTGCTTTGGTCCTGACTGGGTTCAGACTTTTATCTCATCAGTTCCGTCAGACTTAAAGTCTACTTATTTAAACTGAGGCTGTTCAAAGAGCTACTGACAAAAGCTAAAATATTATTTCTTCATAATCTTTCCACAGAACCACATTGAAAAATGTCCAAACTATTCTAAAAGTTGTACTAAAAAAATATTTAGTCTTTCACTGAAGAGAATCAGAATGTGTAAACCAGCACAAAATAAATACAGTATCGGTATATCATATATTGTTGCATACATATTTTACAGTTTTCAGTCATAATGTATTTTTCTACACCTTATTAAATTAATTTCACAGATTAGATCATTTTTGTGTCATAATCCTAATGTACAAACTTTAATGTATTTGCTAACTGTATAGATATATAACTTGTATAGATTCAAGGCAAATGAGCATAGTGCTTGTTTGCTCCATGTCCCACAGTTGCAGTTTAAACTTTTAGAATTAAGAAAAAGAAAATCATGGTACTGACACTGACTGATTTTTGACACAAGTTGTAAGGTAAATGAAGAATACCCACAATACAAAGGACACTATTTTATTTTTATTTTTTTTGCATGATCTATGGGTACAGCGAATAGTGGTGTAATATTGAATATATGTGGTTAATAGAAGTCTGTTGTGCCTTCAAGTAATATCTGTATCTTTTTTGTATTTTGTGAGGTCTTCCTGCATATCAGATTAGAGGACTTGGAACCACGACTCCATAAAAACATTTTAATATTCTGCTGGATTTAGGTGATCACTTGGACTTGGCAAGTCTGAAAAATTAGATTTATTCAACTGAACTTGAACTTTTATGAATTAACCAATGTTTAATGACAGCAGAACTGGATGATTAGGATCAGATTCCTAAAGTAAAGTTTAGAGATACTTGCTCTGACTGGTATTCAATTAAAATTGTGAGTTAATAAAAAAAAAATGAAAAAAATCTGTTTTCCCCCCATTCGTAATTATCTGTCTTAGGCTGATGTAAAAAAAATGAAGGAAAAATAAAAAAATAAAAAATAAAAAACAGGCAAAATTGACCAGGAACCTTTTTTTTTTTTACTGGTGTCCAAGTGAGGTTTTCTTTATCTACTTTTCATAATGTGTGTGCAAAAACCTGCTATTATTTTAGAACATTTACCCAAAGGCATATTAAACATTTTACAAGTGTCAAAACCTTTACACTACCACTTTACTCTAGCTCAAATAAATACATTCTTTTGTAATGTCACAGAACATTATTAACTATATACAGCAGTATTTGTTAAAGAGTTGTGGTACAATATTTTTTCTGCACTAAACAGTTACACCACTACAAGAATGTGGTATAGCAAGAGTGTTGAGGACAGTAATTTAGAAAAAAATGTACTGCACATCCACTAAATACACAAACACATACAGTAAAAAAACAAATAGTTATGCTTTTTAGTGACACTTGTAACACCAAATGCATAAGCAGAGTGCATTGTGCAAATTAATTTCATCATAAAAATATAAAATTAAAGTAAGACCAACAACTACAAACCTTTTGTAACATATTCTTTTTTTCCCTAATAGATGGCTGATGCTCAGCAGAAACAAATTGAGCACGAGAAGATAATGCTTGAGCAGACTTTCCTAACAGAAAAAGAACTGCTGTTAAAGAAGGAGAAGCTAATTGAAGATGAGAAAAGACTGCTGGAGAGCCAGTTTGAAGAGGAAGTGCGAAAGGCAAAGGCTCTTAAAGATGAACAAGAACGCCAGAGACAGCAGATGGAAGAGGAGAAAAAGAAACTTCTGGCCACCATGGACGCAGCCGTCAGTAAACAGAAAGAGGCAGAACAAGAAATTCTTAACAAGCAAAAAGAAATGCAAGAACGAGAACGACAGAGACTAGAACAGGAAAGGGTTCTTGCAGAGGAAAACCAGAAGTTGCGTGAAAAACTACAGCAGCTTGAAGCCCACAAAGATCAGCAAACAAAAGAAAGTGACAATCAGGCTGATACAATTTCAAACAAACAAATTATCCATATGACAACTGTTGAGACAAAGGAGGTTTACATTGGTCAAAATGGTAGGGACATAGTGGATGGTGGAGAAAAGAGACCAGATCCCTTAGCTTTTGATGGCATCCGTGAAAAGGTACCTGCTAGCAGGCTTTATGAGCTTGGAATTTTGCCCAAAAATGAGTTTGATCAGCTAAAAAATGGCAAAACCACTGTTGAAGAACTTGGGGAGACTAAAAACCTTAAAAGAATTCTTAAAGGAAACAATGCAATTGCAGGTATTTTAACCCCTGCTAATCAAAAAATGTCAATCTACCAGGCATCAAAAGATAAAATTATTACTCCAGGGACAGCAATGATCCTTCTTGAAGCACAGGCAGCCACTGGTTACATATTAGACCCTATTAAGAACAAGAAACTTTATGTTAATGAGGCTGTCAAGGAAGGCTTGATTGGCCCTGAACTGCATAACAAAATGCTATCTGCTGAGAAGGCTGTTGTTGGCTACAAAGATCCATACAGCGGTGGAAAGATTTCTGTTTTTGAAGCCATGAAGAAGGGTCTAATTGAACGTGATCATGCCATCAGAGTCCTTGAGGCTCAGCTTGCTACTGGTGGCATCATTGACCCTATCAACAGTCACCGTGTATCCAATGAAACAGCCTGTAAGCAGAGACAGTATGATGCAGAAATGAATAAGATCATGGAGAAACCCTCAGATGACACAAAGGGATACTTTGACCCCAGCACTCAAGAACCACTGACATATTCTGAGTTAATGGCAAGATGCACTACTGACCCCAATACCAGTCTGTTACTCCTGCCAGTCACTGAAAAAGCTGCTCAGTGTTCTAGTATATACACAGAAGAAGAGACAAAAGATGTATTCAACAAAACAACTGTGTCTGTGCCTTTTGGACGATTCAGCGGTAAAACTGTTACCATTTGGGAGATAATCAACTCTGAGTACTTCACTGAAGATCAAAAGAAGGATCTTCTTCGCCAGTACAAGACAGGCAAAATCACAATAGAAAAGATCATTAGAATTGTCATTACAGTAGCTGAGGAGAAGGAGAAGAAGAATGAAATTGTCTTTGATGGTCTAAGAGCACCTGTCCCTGCCAGTGAGCTTGTAGAATCAAAAATCATAGATAAAGACCTTCACAATAAACTCCAGAAGGGAAATGTGTCAGTCAAGGAAATATCTGAAATGGAGCCCGTCTACAAGGCACTGAAGAGTACAAACTGCATTGCTGGTGTACTCATTGACTCATCTAAGGAGGTACTGTCCTTTTATCAGGCTATGAAGAGGGACATGGTAAGGCCTAGGATTGCTTTGAATATGCTTGAAGCCCAAGCAGGAACAGGCTTTGTAGTTGATCCTGTTCAAAACCAAAAGTACACTGTTGATGAGGCTGTTAAAGCTGGTGTTGTTGGTCCTGAGGTGCATGAAAAGCTCCTGTCTGCAGAGAGAGCTGTTACAGGTTACAAAGATCCTTACACTGGACAGACTGTATCTCTCTTCCAGGCAATGAAAAAAGATCTAATCCCTAAAGAGCAAGGTATTCGACTGCTTGATGCCCAAATGGCCACTGGTGGCATCATTGATCCAGTAAAAAGCTTACGTGTTCCTCATGATGTTGCTTGCAAGAGAAATTACTTTGATGATGAAATGAAACAGACTCTGAGCAAACCAACTGATGAAACTAAACATTTCTTTGACCCAAACACAAAAGAACATGTCACATACTCACAGCTCTTCAAGAAATGTGTCACTGACAAAAAAACTGGTCTTCTGCTTCTTCCTCTTAGTGACGAGGCAATCGCTGATAAGGAAGAGTCAACATACACTGAAGCCCAGACAAAAGAGGCTATGACTCAAGCAACTGTGGAGCTTGAATCTGGACCTTTTAAGGACAGAAAGATGACAGTCTGGGAACTTATCAACTCTAAATATCTCACTGAGGAACAGAGACTTGACATGCTCAGACAGTTTCGGTCAGGAACATTTACAATTGAAAAGATAATCAAGATCATTATCACAATTGTGAATGAGAAAGAAGCTAAGAAACTGGAACAATCCAGCTTTAAGGGACTCCGTGCTCCTGTTCCAGCAAGTTCCTTGTATGATTGTAAAATCATAGATAAACTGACATTTGACCTCCTTGAACAGGGTAAAACAACACCTAAACAGGTCAGTGAAAATTCTGATGTTAGTAAATACCTCCAGGGCACTGAAAGCATTGCTGGCATTTTCTTGGAACCAACAAAGGAAAAAATAGGCATTTATCAAGCTATGAAGAAAAAGCTTCTCAGACAAAACACAGGTATTTTACTTCTTGAGGCTCAGGCTGCAACTGGATTTATTGTAAATCCTGTGACAAAACAATGCCTGTCAGTTGATGAAGCAGTAAAGGTAGGCCTTGTTGGTCCAGAGTTGCATGAAAAACTTCTCTCTGCAGAAAAGGCTGTCACTGGCTATAAGGATCCATTCACAGGCAAGAAAATTTCCCTCTTTGAAGCAATGCAAAAAGATCTTATACTTAAAGAACATGCCATGCCCCTTTTGGAAGCACAGATGGTCAGTGGAGGAATCATTGACCCTGTGAACAGTCACCGGGTCCCAATTGAGGCTGCATACCAAAAGAACATTTTCAGTAAAGAAATTGCCAAAACTCTGTCTGTAGCATCAGATGACAACAAGGCTTTCTCAGATCCAGAAACTGATGAGAATGTAACCTACCAGCATCTTAAAGACAAATGCCGAAAAGATCCAGACACAGGTCTTTACATCCTCCCTCTCTCTAAACCTCAGTCTCCAACCATTGTGGAGAAGACATACCTCTATACAGAAGAACAAACTCAGAGTGATCTGACTAAAACCCAAATTGACATTCCAATTGAGGGCCTTGCTGATAAACCAATGAACCTGTGGGATGTAATGAACTCAAATTTGATTCCAGAACAGGAAAGACAGAAGCTTTTAGATGAATACCGCGCTGGAAAAATAACTAAAGAGAGGATGATCATCATTATTATTGAGATAATGGAGCAAAGAGAAATAATCAGACATGACAGCCCACTTTCATACAAAACTATAAGGAGAAGAATAACAATTGAAGAGCTTTACAATGCTCGCATCATTGATTTGGAGACATACAATCTTCTTAAACAGGGCAAGAGGGATATCCGTGACATAATGGAGATGACTAGTGTGAAACAATACCTCTATGGAACAGGCTGTGTTGCTGGTGTCACAACTGACTCAAGTGCCAAGCTAAGCATATACCAAGCAATGAACAGAGGTTTCCTTAAACCTGAAATAGGCCTTAGCCTGTTAGAGGCGCAAGCTGCAACAGGATTCATTGTTGATCCAGTGAAGAATGAAACACTCACTGTTGACGAAGCTGTTCGTAAAGGAATTGTTGGGCCTGAGATCCATGATAAACTTCTTTCTGCTGAAAGAGCTGTCACTGGATACAAAGATCCATACAGTGGAAAAATTATTTCTCTTTTCCAATCCATGAAAAAAGATCTTGTTCCAGAAGATTATGCCTTAAAAATGTTGGAGGCACAGACTGCTACTGGTGGCATCATTGATCCTGAATTCCAGTTCCACCTACCAGCAGACATTGCTTTACAAAGAGGTTATATCAACAAGGAGACCAATGAGCAATTAACTGACAGTGTTAAAGGATTTGTTGATCCAGTTACTGATGAAAAAGTGTCATATGCAGAGCTCCTCAAGAGATGCAAACTAGAAGGGGGGTTGCGCCTCCTTTCCCTAGGAGACAAGAGGTTGACCTTTACGGGTCTGAGAAAACAGATCACAATGGAGGAGCTGATTCGCTCACAAATTATTGACCAGCAGACTGTCATTGAATTAAATGAAGGCCTTCTGACAATGGAGGAAGTCAGCAATAGGCTATCAAGATACCTCCAGGGCACAGGCTGTATTTCTGGTGTATATTTGGAGTCAACCAAAGAACGTTTATCTATATACCAGGCAATGAAGAAGAACATGATTAGGCCAGGGACTGCTTTTGAGCTTCTTGAGGCCCAAGCAGCCACAGGGTATGTTATTGACCCAATCAAGAACCTTAAACTGACAGTCCATGAAGCAGTAAAAATGGGAATTGTAGGTCCAGAGTTCAAGGACAAGCTTCTCTCTGCTGAGCGAGCAGTGACTGGATATAGAGATCCTTATTCAGGCAAGACAATCTCTCTATTCCAAGCAATGAAAAAGGGCCTCATCCTGAAAGATCATGGTATCCGTCTCCTAGAAGCTCAAATAGCCACTGGTGGAATTATTGACCCAGAAGAAAGTCACCGTCTACCAGTTGAGGTGGCCTATAACCGTGGCTTCTTTGATGAGGAAATGAATGAGATCTTAACAGATCCATCTGATGACACAAAAGGCTTTTTTGATCCTAATACAGAAGAAAACCTAACCTACCTTCAGCTGATGGAGAGATGTATCACTGATCCAGACACCGGCCTGGTACTCCTGTTACTGAAGGAAAAGAACCGGGAGAAAAAGACATCCTCTAAATCTTCTGTTCGAAAACGCAGAGTTGTCATTGTTGACCCAGAGACAGGCAAAGAAATGAGTGTATATGAGGCCTACAGAATGGGACTCATTGACCACCAAACTTACTTGGAACTTGCTGAGCAGGAGTGTGAATGGGAGGAAATTACAATGACTTCCTCTGATGGCTCTGTAAAATCTCTAATCATTGACAGAAGGTCCGGCAGACAGTATGATGTTGATGATGCTCTTTCACGAGGACTTGTTGATCAGAAGACCTTAGATACATACCGATCTGGAAACCTGTCAATCACAGAGTTTGCTGATATGCTTTCTGGAGGTATAGGAGGTTTCCGTTCACGCACATCTTCATTTGGTTCTACTAGTGGGTCATCTTACTCCACTTCCATGAGCCCTATACCTTCACTTAAACCACCTGCAGTAAACTGGAATGATCCAACAGAGGAGACTGGACCAATAGCAGGAATACTGGACATAGATACACTGGAAAAGGTGTCTATCACTGAGGCAATACACAGAAACCTAGTAGACAATATCACAGGCCAAAGACTGTTGGAGGCCCAAGCCTGCACAGGAGGAATAATAGATCCTACAACTGGAGAACGATTCTCAGTTGCTGAAGCAACAGAGAAAAGCTTGATAGATAAAATCATGGTTGATCGCCTCAACCTGGCACAAAAAGCATTCAATGGATTTGAAGACCCCAGAACTAAAGTCAAAATGTCTGCCTCCCAGGCTCTAAAAAAAGGCTGGTTGTACTATGAGGCTGGGCAGCGTTTCCTTGAGGTTCAGTATTTGACTGGTGGTCTTATTGAGCCCGATGTTGAGGGCAGAGTGCCCTTAGATGAATCCATCAGAAAAGGAACGATTGATGCTCGCACTGCCCAAAAGCTGAGAGATGTCGGTACTTATTCAAAATATCTGACATGTCCAAAAACGAAATTGAAAATCTCTTTCAAAGATGCCATGGATAGAAGCATGGTTGAAGAAGGATCTAGCTTAAGGCTTCTGGAGGCCTCTTCTCAGTCTAGCAAAGGCCTTTACAGTCCCTACAATGTCAGTGGTTCTGGATCTGCGTATGGCTCTCGGACTGGCTCAAGGACAGGATCCCGATCAGGTTCAAGAAGAGGCAGCATTGATGCTGGCTCTGGCTTTAGCATGAATCTCTCCACCACCTCCTCCTCCTACTCCTACTCATCCACATCTGCCTACCCTCGTAGATTCTGATGAGCTCGTCCCGTTCCTAATCAGTTGTAACTAAAAACTAGCAATACTAATGCACTTTACAGTTGCATTTCTAACAACAGAAATTAGATACAGTAACAATAAAAGTATAATTTATTTATTTGTAATTTCATATAGTCACAAGATTTGCTTCAGCTGATGATTTTTTTATCTACTTGTGTAAACAGCTGCCTCTTTTATGGGGATGTAACCAATTATTGCATAAAAAGAAGATTCCAGTAAAGATTACCAAGTCAGCTCATAACTATTAAGGCAGAGCATGATATTTCTGCTGTTTTTAAAACATTTCAATTTTACACCTGTTCAAACAATGTGTGCTCATGTTTCTGGAACTAATATATACTGTGTGTATTTAAGCAGAAATGTTTTTCAAGTATTCCTCGTTTTATTTTTAATTTGACAGTTTAAACATGTTTTATAACTTTTTTTTTATCATCGATAGTAATGAAATATTGAATGTCACCATAGCTCTAATGATTTTAACTAAAACATTTAAGACTTTAAAATGTTTGTGTAGAGCATAGACAAAACATGTGTTCATGGTTTTTTTTTTTTGTTTTTTTTTTTCATGTTGCTTGATTGCCTGTGCAATGTACCAAGTAAATTGGGGCATATTTTTTTCTTTTAAATAACTTCAAAACGAATTACTGAGAATTCTTAATAGAAAAGAACCGTCAACAGTGAATTTGTTCAAACTTTTCTGAAACTGGTTATATATATATTATTACTTATGGTCATTTATTCTCAGTGGACAAGGTCATTGCTTTATTGTTTTACACACTCCAAATTTTAGAATTGTCAATATTTCCATCAACCAAGTGTTCCTGCTAAATCCCAAGATGATGTCAGACTCAGTCCTGCGCCACCACCCCACAGTCCTGCTCCTGTTATTTTGACTCTTGTAAGTTGACGTTTTTCTTCATGTACTTTTTTAATTTTCTCTGTAGTTTGTTTTTTCTTAATTGGCATCCCATAACTTACTCTGAAAACTTATCTCAGATGCAGTTATGGTGTCATGTCATCAGTAAAATGTGTCCCCCCCAACTAAAAATCCTATAACTACTGTGTTTTCTTTCTGTCATTTGTACTTTTTCCATAGATGCAACATTCACTTCAAATCCAAAATGTGTGCACAAATACTCAGCTGGGCAGAGTGTGTAGCCTCCCCACCACCGCTGGACCTGCGAGTTCATGTCATTATCACACAGAAGACCAGGTATAGCCCCAGGTTGTTTTGATTTATAGATTTTTTTTTTTACCTTGTTTAATTTTTTTATCGTTTTCTTTGACTGCAATGTTTGGTTTATGTTGCCTATTTTCATGGTTGTTTTCATTTGTCTCCAGATCTGCCTTTGAGTTTTTCTTTTCCTCCACTGTGCATCACATTTTGGAAAGCTGAGACTGAGTCAACTTCATCTTGGGATGCCATTTTTTGTACTCCTTACTCATTTGCTTAAGTCACATTAATACTTGAACGATCATAGGGATATTTATGATAGAATGCCTTAAAATGTACACTACCAGATAATTCACACATCACATGAACATTAGAGGTGCCTCAGTGAAACATCAGCCTATCTTCAGTCACTGGTTTACTGTATTCTGTCTCCTGTTCAACCAAAGTGCCTACGTCACAAATGTTTATTGCATGAATGTATGTATTATATCGGATTGGCTCCTTTCAGTTGTTTTCTCTCTGATTTTCATAGCATGCAGAAAAAGGCTTAACATTTTATTTTGCTGATTATTTTGTTTTTCTCATTATGCAGTTCTGTTCTTTTATTTTTACACCTTTATTTTGTTTTAATCATGTTCTTGTTTTGGATGTGCCTTGCATGTTTTACTAACTTTACAAAGAACATGGGGGGGATGTTCGTGTAAAATACTGTTTTTAGCATCATAAACTGCATATTTTAACAATGGGACAAATGTTGCTTTAGTTGAAAATGAGGATTTTGCTGTATGTGAACATAACACTACGTTGTAAATAAATATGCTCTAAATTGATATTCTTGTCATTCATGCACCATGTTATATTCATTTGGAGCTGTTTTTGCAAGTAATATAGTTATGTCTTAAGTTCAAGTTAATGTATGAAGTGTTTCCACCTCAGTATCATCCATCCATTATCTTTACCCGCTTCTTCCATTTTGGGTCACGGGGTTCGCCGGTGCCCATGTTTAGCAATCACTGTGCGAGGGGCGGGGTACACCTTGGACAGGTCGCAAGTCCATCACAGGGACGCATAGAGACAAACAAGACAAACAACCATTCACTCTCTCACTCGCACCTAGAGACAATTTAGAGTTACCAATCAGCCTAACATGCATGTTTTTGGTCTGTGGAAGGAAACCGGAGTACCCGGAGAAAACCCACGCATGCACGGAGAGAACATGCAAACTCCAACAAAAAGACCTCTGGACCAGAATTTGAACCAGGGACCTTCTCACTGAGAGGCAGCAGCTCTACCAGTTGCACCACCCCACACCTCAGTATCATATTGTTTGAAAATGTGTTATTTAGATGATGGATGGATATGGCATCCACAGAAAACACCATGAAGTCCTTCTTTCCTTTGCTGTACACCTGCAATCTACATCAGTGGTTTACATTTTGGACCGTTGAAATGTCTCAATGTCTACATCATGGTTTCAAATATTAAGAAACTATCAATGGAACTGAAAAAAATAATGACAACCATGCTTAATATTCTGTAGGTCAAAATGTAAACAAGATTATCTGTGATCAAATTTAAAATAGAACAACTACTGTGGGAATATTAATAAAGCAAGGAGTGCACCATAGTAAAGAGTGCAAACTTTATATTTAGTGAACCCTAATTATTACAAAGATCTTCAACTCCCTAGAAGTATATCAAAGGGTTCCAGTGCAAAAAAAAAGGTGCAAAATCCCACTTCGGAATCCCACTCAAGTTTTTAAATAAAGTAAAAATATTTACAGTGGTGCTTGAAAGATTGTGAACACTCTAAAATTTTCTATTTTTCTGCATAAATATCTAAAATCCATCCATCCGTCCATTATCTTTACCCGCTTATTCCATTTTGGGTCACGGGGGTCGCTGGTGCCCATGTCCAGCAATCACTGTGCGAGGGGCGGGGTACACCCTGGACGGGTCGCAAGTCCATCACAGGGACACATAGAGACAAACGAGACAAACAACCATTCACTCTCTCACTCACACCTAGGGACAATTTAGAGTTACCAATCAGTCTAACATGCATGTTTTTGGTCTGTGAGAGGAAACCGGAGTACCCGGAGAAAACCCACACATGCACAGAGAGAACATGCAAACTCCACCCAGAAAGGCCACTGGACCGGGGTTTGAACCAAGGACCTGCTCGCTGAGACGCAGCAGCTCTACCAGTTGCGCCACCATGCTGCCATGATCTAAAATATCATTAGATTTTCACACAAGTCCTAAAAATAGATAAAGAGAACCCAGTTATGAGACAAAAATATTATACTTGGTCATTATTGACTGAGGAAAATGATGCAATATTACATATCTGTTAGTGGTAAAATTCAATTCAGTTTATTTATATAACGCCAAATCACAACAAAGTTGTCTCAGGGCACATTACAGGAACATTCACATAAAAGCCAATTAGTAAAGTTCTCTATCTAAGGAATCCAGCAGACAAGATGAATCTTGGCTTCGTCACAGTCTCCCATCCTGAGCAAGCACAGTGGCAACAGTGGAAAGGAAAAACTCCCTTTTTAAAAGGAAGAAACCTCCAACAGAACCAGGCTCAGGACAAGCGGCCATCTGCTTTGACCGGCTGGTTGAGAGGACAGGAAGGAGAGACAGACGAACATAGAATGGTAGGTCCAGGTATAGGTCCAGGTGTATCTGAAAGACAAAAAAAAACATGTTAAGGACAGAAAAAATAATTACAAATACAAAACAGGTTGAGCAGAGTAAGTAAAGACAGTAGCAGAGTGAAAATTGTGGTCAGTTTGTCCTCCAGCAGTCTAAGTTATAGCAGCATAACTAAGGGACAGCTCAGGAAACCCAAGCCGACCCTAACTATAGGATTTAGCAAAAAGGAAAGTCTTAAGCCTAGTTTTAAAACTGGATAATGTGTCAGCCTCACGGACAGAGATTGGAAGTTGGTTCCACAAGAGAGGAGCCTGATAACTGAAAGATCTTCCACCCATTCTGTTTTTGTAAATTCTAGGAACCACAAGTAAACCTGCAGTCTGAGAGCGAAGTGCTCTGTTAGGAAAATATGGCACAATAAGATCTGTAATATAAGATGGAGCCAGGTTGTTGAGAGCTTTGTAGGTTAGAAGTAGGAATGTCCTGGATGACTGAGAATCTTCACCAGCATATGTTAGAAGTAGGATTTTGAATTATATTCTGGACTTGACAGGGAGCCAGTGGAGAGAAACTAAAACTGGAGAAATATGATCTCTCCTACTAACTCCGGTTAAGACTCTGGCAGCAGCATTTTGGATCAACTGAAGATGTTTTAAAGAAGTATTTGAACACCCAGATAATAAACCATTGCAATAGTCCAGTCTAGACGTGACAAATGCATGGACCAGTTTTTCTGCATCATTTTTAGATAAGATGTTTCTAATTTTAGTGATATTACGCAGGTGGAAGAAGGTGCTTCCAGTAAAGTTTTTAATGTGGGGGATAAAAGACATGTCCTGATCAAAAATAACACCAAGATTTTTAACATTAGAGCTGGAGAACAGATTAATGCCATCTAAGGAGGGAGAAAGACTGAAAAATTAATTCCTAAGGTGCTCGGGTCCAAAAACCAAAACCTCAGTCTTCAAATGTGGACATTAATTAGGGGGAATACCTCTTTAAACAATCTGGTTGGGATGGGATCTAGCAGGCACGTGGATGGTTTGGATGAGGTTATTATTTTTGACAATTCAGAGAGGTCAACAGGACAAAAACTGTCCAAACATAAATCAGACTCTAGTGAAATTTTTAAAGTTGTCTCATTTGACAGGGGACTAAAGATAGTAGAAGGAAGGATGGTTTGAATTTTCTCTTTAACTGAAATACGTTTATTTATAAAGAATCTCATGAAGTCATCACTACTTATAACAACAAAAAAGGTTAGTGAAAAGGCCAGACTTCAGGGGTATCTGAGGCAGGCTTGAAACACAAGAGTCAGGGTGGCTTCTGGGTAATACCAGATGGCTAGGCCTCAGACTGACGAAGCCTCTTGGATGAGGGGCGAAACGTTTCTTTTTAACAAAAAAAAAAAAAAAAACGAAGTCCAGATGACATGATTCAACCTTTTTTGTTGTTATATACCTGGATGACTGAGAAAACAAACTTTGTATCACTACTTATAGTTGTAGGGATACATGGTTCAACAGAAATGAGACTTTTAATTAGTCTAGCAATATTACTAAACAGAAACCTAGGGTTTTTTTTATTCTCCTCTATTAAAGATGAGTAATATAAAGTTCTAGCTTTACGGAGAGCTTTTTTATATGTTAGCAGACTATCTTTCCAAGTTAAATAAAATTCTTCAACATTAGTAGAGCACCATTTTCTCTCCTGGTTTCTAGATGCCTGCTTTAAAGTACGTAACTCAGAATTGAACCAAGGAGCCAGTTTCCTCTGATTGATTACTTTCTTTTTCAGTGGAGCAATTTTATCAAGTGAAGTTTGCATTGAAGTTGTAAGATGATCAACTAGATGATCTAAGTCACTGTTCTCTGATGCATTACTCTGCAAGGCAGAGGAAAACATTGATGGAAGAGACTGTTTAAATTTGGTTACAGCATTTTCTGATAAGCACCTGCTGAGATGAAATTTACTCTCAGTGACTGTGTAGTCATTTAATGTAAACTCAAAGGTTATTAAAAAATGTTCGGACAGAATAGGATTTTGAGGAACTATTACCAAGTCCTTAATCTCTACACCACAGGTCAGAACTAAATCAAGAGTGTAAAAGTATGTGAACCTATAGGATTAGCAGTTAATTTGAAGGTGAAATTAGATTCAGGTGTTTTCAATCAATGGGATGATGATCAGGTGTGAGTGGGCACCCTGTTTGATTTAAAGAACAGGGATCTATCAAAGACTGCTCTTCGAAGGTTGAAAGAATTGAATGGACCCGGCAGCAGGCCGGTGAGCTGGATTTTGTTTGGCAACAACGACTCATCGCTTTGTGGACGTCTTTCTGGATTTTGTTAGTGGCTGGTTTGGCATACACTGGTATGTGAATGGCTCAGAATGGATAAGCAGGCAGAGAATAATGAGGACGATATGGATTATGATGGATGGACAACAGTAAAAGGGAGAGGCAGAGGAGGTGGTGGAGGTAAGATGAATGAAGGAAGAGCGTTTGACAATCAGAAAAATAAACGAGAATTAGACGGAAGTAGCTCTGGAAAGAGAGTTGTCAGAAGTAAGGTAGAGATGGGGGAATATAAAATAATAAAGTTTAGGAATGAGGAAGAACAGAGCACAATAAGTCCAATCATTCTGTCAAAATAAATAAAAAAGAAGATTGGAGAGGTAGAAATGGTGAAAGTGTTGAGAGACAGAAATTTAATGGTGATTTGCAAAATTGAAGAACAGAAAAGAAAGACACTACATGTTGAAAGCATTTGCAAAAAAACGGTGGTGGAAAGAAAAGTTATAGGTGAAAACAAAATAATTTGAGGTGTGATTAATGGCATTCCATTAGATGAGGATCTGGATAAATTAAAACGAAACATAGTTGGTGCTCAGGTGAAAGATGCCAAGATGGCCGCGCTCAGAGCAGTTGCAGCTTCACAGGCTCCCGGTACCATCCCAGTTTTTAGAAGTTTTGATATTGACTCTGTGCCTGACATCGCGCAATTTATGCGTGTGAACTATAGCCGAACCGAACTGATGAGAATAGGAGCGGATTTGCCACGAAATATAGCAGAAATCAGCAACAAACTCAAAACTACGCTCGGCAGAATGCAGTTCTTAAAGTCATCTACCTGGAAGCTGCAGCAGAGGCGTTCCAGCGGGCAGA